TGGGGACAGCGTCATCACCTGGTCGCCGGGAGGAGGTGGAGTCTTCTGTGCAGTGGTGCTGTTTTGTGCCTCAAAGTGAGCGAAGAAGGTGTTCAGCTCATTCAGCAGGGAGATAGTGCTGTCACAGGTCCGCGGTGGGGGCTTGTAGTCCGTATTGTATCATTGGCTTGTATCATTGTATTGCATTGCATTTTTCAAAAGATATAATGCAATGCACTGCAATGATGACTGAGAGATGAAAAAATAAACATTCCTCTGAAGTCTGATGATGATCATATTTTATATTTTAACATGATTTTTATAAAAACTGATGTTTGAATAATCAAGTCCAGTATGTGTTCATCCTGAACTATTACTAACAATATTGATGTTATTCCTACGTTTACTTTATAAACATCAGTAAAGACACACAGCAAAATGACACGTGAAGCACGAGCTGAAGGTGGATGTTCGTACAATTATATTAAAACACTTTTTGCTTGCTAAAACTATAAATCAGATGACAGAAGGCATGTAGCAGATTGTGTACGACAGGTTTTTCAGCAATGTTTCATCATGTTTATCATTTAGAGACCTTAGAAATGTGTGTATCAAATATGATACAGTAGGAATTATAGAGTTAAACCTATAAGCATTGCATATTCTCTTTCTCTCCCTGCTTTGTGACCCGTCTCCCTATTAAAAACCTGACTAATTGTTCTCCATTACTGGTCATTACTCTCCGGGCAGCTCACAGCAGGTGAAGCCCTAAATTACTCAAACAGCACTACAAACTGGTCTTGTGATTTAAGACACCAGAAGCACCATTATTTTACATCCCACAGCAAAGAAAATCAATATTAATGCTCCAACATGTCTATAACAGGTCTATGTCTAATGTCTAACTTGTCTTTTTGTGATTTTTATAGTCTGTAAGTCATGGCAAGTTTATTTCTTGCTCTTAATTCATGGTAAGTTTGCTTTTGAGATCAGTGTCCATTTAAAACTTCATTATTAATTCCTCTTGGTTTTCAGTCTTGTAATTTTCTTCATTCTGTGTTGAATGTCATTGATTTAAGAGCTGTAGTGCCATCCATCTGATCATAATAGCTCTGGAATATGTTAACGCAGCATGTCAATACTTTCATGTTTCATTTATCCTGCCCTTTGCATTTAAAGCCAGTTGGCTGGTTATTTTTCATTCAGCAGGTGCTTTTATCCACAGTGTATGTATTATAGTCGCAGTCCCTGTGGGGATGAGCGTCCTGTGCAAGGGCACTGAAGTGACAGCAGATCACACAAACTTTCTAATTTAAGAAACAACCCCCAAAGAGTTTAAACCTACAAACTTTGGATTGCCCACTGAGATCTTGTGATGTGTGCTGCTGTCAAAATATGGGGTCAAAAGATGTTTTTCAAGTCTCTTCTGCTCATCAAGGCTGCATATTTTTGATTAAAAATACAGTAAAACAATAATAGTATTTATTACAATTTAGTTTATTACAATTTAAACTGTTTTCTATTTCAATATTTGTTAAAATATGATTTATTTCTGTGAACAAAGCTGAATTTTCAGCATCATTACTCCAGTCTTCAGTGTCACATGATCCTTCAGAAATAATTGAATATGCTGATTTGCTGCTCAAGAAACATTTCTGATTATCAATGTTGAAAACAGTTTTCATTTAATTTTTCAGGATTCTTTGATGAATAGAAAGTTCAAAAGAACAGCGTTTATTTGAAATAGAACATTTTTTATGTGATTAGAACTGTCACTTTTAATTAAGTTAATGCATCTGTCCCAAGATCATATTTATTTTTTAGCTCTATGCTCTTGCTGTATGACAATTATTGTGTCTCTTTTTATTTCTCCCTGTCCAGAGGAAAGAAACAGCAACTTTTGAGCAACTGCAGCTCATATAAAAGAGAAATACTACAACTGAAAAAGATTTGTATATGTTCTACCTGAAAACATATGCATAAATGATCATGCAATATTTCTTTGAACAAGTATCCAATTAGACAATTTGTATGAATATATATTTTGTATACTTACGGTCTAACTTTTAATGTTACAAAACATTTACAGACATTTATAATGTTACATAAGATTTCAAATAAATGCTGTTCATTGAACTTGATCTATTCATCATCCTGAAAATGTTGTATCACGGTTTCCAAACATTTAAAGCAGCAAAAACTGCTTCTGAAGGAACACGTGACACTGAAGACTGGAGTAATGATGCTGAAAATTCAGCTTTGCACCAACGAAATAAATTACATTTTAAAATGTATTCAAATAAAAAAATAGTTATTTTGAATTGCAATAATATTTCACAATATTACTGTTTTTACTGTAAATAAACGCAGCCTTGGTGAGCAGAAGAGACTTTTTCCAAAAACATTTACTATTGTGAATCCATCTTATATGATTCTTATATAATTTTTCATGTAAATTCTGCACATAAATGTATGAAAAGTATGAATCTCGCTCTCGTCTCTCATAAAGGATGGACAATAATGAAGGGAAGAGTATGTACTTAAGTCTACTGTCATGGCCATCTCGTAGGACGGTGGGAGGTGTGTGAGGTTCTGGAAGGACCGGGAGAACGACAGGTCGTACGGCTCTGTCTGGGATGTCAGGATGTTGTTCATTCTCGGCTTCTCTGCAGGGCAGAAAGGAAAAAAGAGGCAGAGAGAGAGAGAGAGAGACAAAGATGAAACACATCCCATACAAGAGAAAGCAGTTGAAGCTCAGTGTGTTCAGGCCACCGTGGCATCTGTTTGAGAGTGTGTGTGTGTGTGTGTGTGTGTGTGTGCTGGAATCATTTTTGAAGAACTTGTTTAATGAGGGTGAGTGTAGGTCCAGGCAGCTACTCAGCCAGTAAAACACTTGTTGGGAATGTCGTTCCCTCATTTTAACTGTGTGCTCATGGGTCCAGGAACTGCCAGGCGTGGGATTTGCAGGCTATTTTCAAAGGCTTGTGTTTCTAGACTTGCATGTATGACATTACATAGGCGCACATATACCAGACCGCATATACACTGCAAAAAATGATTTTCTTACTCAGTGTTTTTGTTTTGTTTTCTAGTAAAAGTTCTAAACTTTCTTATAGGATTAGGTCACCCAAAAATGACAATATGCTGAAAATGTACTCAGCCTCAGGTTTGTTTCTACATTGGAACAGATTTGGAGGAATGTAGCATCCCATCACTTGCTCACCAATGGATGCTCTGCAGTGAATGGGTGTCGTCAGAATGAGAGTCCAAACAGCTGATAAAAACCTCACAATAATCTACAAGTAATCCACACCACTCCAGTCCATCAGTTAATGTATTGTGAAGAGAAAAGCTGCGTGTAATGCTACATTTAATGTTACATTTCATTTAATGCATCCATGTAATGCTACATTTCTACAAATCTGATGAAAAAACACTCATCTACATCTTGGATGGGCTGGATGGTATTCTTTTAAATGAAGATATAATGACGTAAGATATAAAGTATCAAACTATCATAATTAAATAACTTTATGCTTAAATCAATAACAAATATCTGCCAATGGGGTAAGAAAAATACACTTGTTTCCCCTTTGAATTAAGTTTGTTTTTCTGACCCCATTGGCAGGTATTTACATTTTGTTTTACATATAAACTTATTTAATTCTGATATATTTTTTCAGAAAACAAGACTTAATACCTTAAGTAATTTAGCATCTTAAGTAAATGTATCTTGATTTAAGAGTGTTTAGATATTTGCACTGGACAACAAGAGACAAAAAAAAATACTGAGTAAGAAAATCATATATTTGTAGTGTAGAGACCAACAGAGATAAGCACAGAGAGACTGCACACAAACAGAGACCAACAGGGAGAGAGAGAGAGAGAGAGAGAGACTGCACACATACAGAGTCAACCCTACATTCACAGACATCAAAGAAATGAGAGATTATACACATGGACAACATGTGTACTGCTTACCGTAGTACACTATTCGGTGTCCTAACAAACCCAAGTGAGAAAAACAAAATCAGTAACTTTCTTTTGCATGCTTTTGATTCACCGTGTGACATACTGCAGGGTCACTCCATGTCAAATCAATTTAGAAACTCATTAATTTTAGAAACTTCCCTGCCTAAAATTTTTGATTTTGTTGATATTATTTTCTGAAGAAAGACAAGCATAGTGATGAAAGCCAACATATTAAATGTCATGGATGAATATACTGAGTAATCCACTATTTTGTAGAGGGCATCCAAAATGACAATTTTGTCAAATATAATAAGTATCAGCTGAATTAAAAGTGACCCACAAAGTAATTGGTTTTCGACCATTGAAAATTGGTGAAATTTAACAATTTGCACATGGAGACACATTGGGATTGAACCATATAGGACCTTAAAAATGAAGATACCAAAAGAAAAGTTTGATAAGAACCAAAATCTAAAAGTTTATTAAGATATCTTTAACACTGCTTGCAGTACAGACATGCAAATTTTGGAAAAAAATATATTTTTGGCTCTCAGACAGTTACGTTCTATGCAGTTGTTTTGACAGAAGGAAATGCGATACATTTCTAGTTTTAACATTATTTGTTCAGACATTCCTCTTTAAAAGAAAAGCCGTATGCAAAGGGACCACATTAGGTTTTTGACAACTGAAAACATGTACAATTTACTCCTGAAGCCACACTGAGATCCCCATATCTCTGGGATTGAACCATACTGGGCCTTAAAAATGAAGATTACAAAAGAAATCTTTGTTAAGAACTACAATCTAAAAGGATATTAAGACATCTTTAATACTACTTGAGTTACAGGCATGCAAACTTTGGGAAAAACAACATGAAAAGTGCTTTTCCCCCATTTTTGAACTGTCACTATTGGCATACAATGCAAAAAAGATTACTAAAGTCGACAGATTTTACTAATAGACGTACCAATCTCTGTGTACAAGTAACACAATGATGCTGCAATCTTTCTGAAGTCATTTTTCCTCCATGTAATTTGGCTCCAAATCCCAGGTAAAGCCTCTCTTTTTAACTCCCCTCTATAAAATAGTGGATTAGTCAGTAAATATTCATCCATGGCATTTAATATTTTGGCTTCCTTTTCATTCATGTATTTCTTTCACCAGAAAAAAAAAGATCACAATCAAAATTCTTAGTTAGGGACCTCTGGTGGAGTTGACACAGAATATTATTAATGCAGTGAGCTGATATCAACAGTTTTTTTGTGATATCTAGCACACAAGGAGCTTGATTTAACTGAGTGCATAAACGAATGATAATGCCGTTCCACCACGAGAGATGTGACCGATGTGTGCTTACAGTCTGAAAAGCTTTTTCACACAAAATCAAATTTGGGAAGACGAGATATAGTCAGAACAATTACAACTGTGGCTTTTCAATACCGTCGGCAAACTGTGCAGATCCAATTAGCATACTGTTTAGTTACACAATCCTCCCTGCTAGCGGGGCCATTTACAGGCTAAGCTTTTAATTTCCTGTCAAGAGGCTGTTTTTTGTCAAAACCCTGCTTTTTTTAATCCCAATCAAATTTTGGGTGAAAGGCATCTCTGATCTCGAGGGCCGTCGGGGAGTTAAGCATCTTAAGTAATGGAGATTATCAGTGCTCATCTGATGAGGCTAATTATGAAAATCTTTTCTAGAGATAAAATCTTGCTCCATTAGTTACTCCAATCTGATATTATACACCACGTTCTTCACACTTCAAACCATCTGGATGTGGAAGACGCTGATAATATCGAGATGTCGTCATAAATCAATTAAAACTCGGAGCCGCTTTTGAGCAGCATTTCATGAGCAGCATTTTCATACTGCAGATGAACGGGATTTACTGGAAACAAAGATATCGAACAACTCACCGATTTTGGGCGTGTGTGACCCAGTGAGATCCAGATGGCTGGTATAGTCGTGTGGATGGTTACCTGTCAAAAGAAAACCAAGGAAAAACTGGTGTGGTTTAATGTATTCCATACTAATTAATCAACGTGACAGAGTCTGTGCCATTTTTACGTAAAATCCCTGTAAAGACGCAGCATTCTCAAAATGTTTTCAGACTGGCAGATGCTTCTGGAAGGCAATGTCTTTGTTTACAGTTGAAAGCATCTGTACAGCACCCGAAGGATGAGCAGAAATCCCCTGAGACTTATCAGGAGCACGCACAGAAAAGTTTTAGAGAGCAAAACAAGATCAAATCAACAAGTACACTGTAATAACCGCAGATTTAAGCCTTCAAACAAATAAAGAAAAACTAATAAAAGCGATATTGCTCCATTTCTGCTAGACGTCAGCGTTTACTCTTGAAACTGAAATTAAACTATATGATCTCAGGGATACAGGGTTCATGCAAGGACTGCCTGAAAACGTCTCAGGTTACGTATGTAACCATGGTTCCTCGAAGGAACGAGACGCTGCGTCGGAAGACGCTTAGGGAACGCCCTTCAGCGTGACCGGCTCTGAACCTCGTGTGTAATCAGACCAATAGATGGGCGAGACGTCACAGGCGGGTGACGTAGTGACCAGGAAGCTATAAAAGCACGTGCGGTGAGACCACAGTTCCTCATACTGGGGCGATTGAGGGGGCGAAACCTCATCGACGCCCACTACATCAACCTCCTCGCATCAACATCAAGTCTCTTCTGCTCACCAAGGCTTCATTTATTTAATTAAAAATGGCGCAAAAAACAGTAAAACTGTGAAATGTTATTACAACTTAAAAGAACTGATTTCTATTTAAATATATTTTATAATGTAATTTATTCCTGTGATGCGCAGCTGAATTTTCAGCATTATTACACGGCTTCATAAACCGTGATACAGGTAAGATTAAAATCAATAATAATATTTTTATTCAGCAAGGATGCATTAAATTGATCAAAAGTGACAGTAAAGACACTTATTGTCACGAATTCGGTCCATGGACTTCCGTTTATTCACCACCAGAGGTCACCCTTTCCATTACATTGACTCTCGCACAACACAAACTGTTGCATAGCACCCCGGACTACATATCCCATCATTCTTTGCACGATTTGCACACTGCACTGATTGCACTCATTGCACACAGCTGTTTCTAATCACCTCACTCACTATATAACACCCACTCTAACCACCTTTCTCTGCTGA